CTTGAAGTAGGTTTCTAATTATTAAGAGAAGCTGTTTTATAGGCAAATGCGTTTGGAGCACACTGAGCAGGTTTGCTGCGGTCTTTCCCAAAGCTAAACTGCATCAACCCATGTATTTCAGAAGGAGGTGAGGAAATAATACTAAGATGCTCAGAATTTCTCCATTTTCACACAGAATTGGACATGCTCATGAGATGTTTTCCAAGCGACTCAAGTTATGGCACACTTAGAGCCGTGATTTCCTTCAGTCACAAGATTAGACCTGAATGCCCAAGGGATGACTTTAAAGAAATAGGTGACAAGTGGCGAAGAAAGGTGCTGAGGCACAGTATCCCATGTTCCTAAAGTGACAGGGTTAAAACGAGTGAGGGAATCAGAGTGGCTGCGTGGCTCAGTCTGTTGAGCGTCTGACTCTTGGTTTCTGCTCAGGTCATGATCTCAGGCATGTGAGATGCAACGGTCATCAGTTCCCCACTCAACAGGGTGTCTGCCTAAGAGTCTTGCCATCTCCCTGGGCCACTCCTCCCCAGAAATAAATAGATAGATAAAATCTTAATTAAAAATAATGAGAGAATTGCATTGTGAGAATGAGTACTCCTGGGAGAAATGGAGAAGAGAGAAGGAAGGTAGGAAAGGAGCCAGAGCAGAACTGAATGTCCAGGACACTGTCCAGGAAGGCTGGGAAACAGGGCCCATGGAAGGAAAAAGTGAGAGGGACACTACCTTCCACGTGGGAGATTCTGAATAGGAGAGCTCAAAGGCTTTATCCTGGGAAGGTTCAGAGTGGGATGGTGAAGGATGGTGAAGAAAAGAGAATGAGGAAATAGAAGAGAAATGTCCCAGAGTCCAAGAGGAGTAGGAAGGGAGAACTGACCCGCAGGGTGTAACGTTCACAGCCCTTTGTCAAGGGCTAAAGACAGACCTTCCTGACTCACTCCTGCCATGGGACCCTGGGAAACACGCAGCTTCCTGGGGCACAAAAACTCCTGGCAGCATCCCTAAGACATCTTCACAGCATTTGTCTTCATTAACCTCCCACAAAAGAGGATGCAGGAGGGATGCCTGGGTGGCTCAGTCGGTAAAGTGGCCGTCTTCAGCTCAGGTCATGATCCCAGCATCCTGGGATGGAGCCTCCATTGGGCTCCCTGCTCAGAAGGGAGCCTGCTTCTCCTTCTGCCTCCTGCTCCCCCGGCTTGTGCTCTCCTTCTCTCTGGCAAATTAATAAATAAAACCTTTTAAAAAGGTTGGAGGGTGCAGGAAAAGTCAGCTCTCTTCATTTTCTGCTGTGCCTTACAAGCCCTGAAAGGAGTAAGTCAGTAGAAGTGACTTCTGAGGCAGATAGCGGAATGCACATGCTCAGGGGAGGAAGCAGCTGGTGCAGCAAAGCCTCCCTGACCCATAGCCCGGGGAGCAGGTTTGTGTTAGAGGCTGAAGCACTGTGGGTTGAGAGCTATAATACTGCAGGCAGTAATAGTCCCCCACATCTTCAGCCTGGAGGTTGCTGATGCTGAGGGTGAAGTCTGTCCCAGACCCACTGCCGCTGAACCGGTCTGGGATGCCCGTGGCCCTGTTTGCTGCAAGATAGATGAGGCGCCTGGGAGCCTGCCCAGGTTTCTGCTGTTACCAGGCTACATATTTGCTAACACTCTGACTGGCTCTGCAGTTCATGGTGACCCCTTGACCTGGAGACCCAGCCAGGGAGCCTGGAGACTGAGTTATCGTGACGTCCCCATGGGCACCTGCAATCAGAAAAACGGTGATACAGACACACTTTATCCCAGTCACGCTGAAATATGTCATTGCAAACGTGCTTCCTAATGGTACCACATGGCAGTACATCATTGGGTCTATTTTGGAAATATCAGTGTTTCTCAGTATATATCGTAAAAAGTTGTTTAAATTACACTACTCCAGAAGGACTATGGCACTTTTCAGCTTCTCACCTGAGACCCACAGCAACAAGCAGAGGAGCACCTGCCGCTGTGTCTCCATCTTGCTGTCCCTGACTGCCCGACACAGCTCAGCTCATGTAGCAAAGGCCCCTTTTATACAGCCTGAGCTGCTGGTCAGGGCCTGGAGAGGCTTATGCAAAGCAGTCAGGGAGAACAGAAGCAAATCTCATAAGCAGTGGGTTGTGAAAGTACCCAATGGAAATGTAAGGAGCCAAAAATAAATCCAAAATAGAGTTGTATGACAGGAACACACAAATGTCAACTTAGAAGCTCTGAGAACAACTTAGAAGTTCTAAAATGACAAACTGCTACAAGATCGAATGAAGAACTTCCATTTTCAATTTAAAAATGTCTTTAAATGAGTCCAGTTACCAGAAAAGATGAAATTGGCTCTTCATTTCAGTAACCCTGGCAAAATAACAAAATATGGCGGGAAACAAATAAGGGGAGGCAGGGAGGGGGGCAAAAGAATTGCAAGGCACAAAAAGAAAGTGGAGAACTTTGGGCCCAACTTTTTATAAAACCTCTGACTGGAAAACATCGAGCTGTGAAGCCCTTTTTCTCCTGCAGATGGGTTAGGATGCGGCAAACACTTGAGCTTGGGTCCCAGGGCTGTGCAAGGGCCATAGAGATGAGAGATGGAAGACAGGCCCAGAATTTTCTCATTTGGGAGACATGTGGGACTCTCATTGGACTTAGCGGAATTCTGAATCCTGATTTTCAGTTTTTCTATCTTTTCAGCTCAATATTTCTGTTTCGTTTTGAATTAACCAATGAATGAAATCTAGGTGGTCTCAGGAAAATTCAGTTCCCTCCAGGGGTGTGAGAAATCAGCGCAGGGTTGAGTGAGTAACATATGACCTTCCCTGCACATGTTCCTCATCCTGCTGTTCCTCCTTAAGCAGAGGGAAGAGGGCAGGGGTGGGATTCCCTTAAGATACCGAACATGCGGTCCTAGTGAGGAGGGCAGAGGCTGTGGAGGCTTAGGGCCCACTGCAAGTCCAACTACAACACTTTCTCCATCTTTTCTGAGTGGGGCAGGTGCCTGAGGCCTCCTATGTCAGGTGGCACCCTGGCTGTTCCACGGATCCCCTTGGCCGCTGCATCTCTTCGTGACATGAGCCATTTCCTAAACCCAGACAGAGCGTGTATCAAGTAGAACCTGCCTGGGGATCCACACCTCACCCTCACAAAGGGTTGATTCTCCCATCACTCCGCTCCTGAATTTGCTCTAGATGATGGTTAATTTTATGTGTTAATGGAAGTAGGCTCGGGCACCTAGTGGGGTGGTCAATGCCAGTTTAAATGTTACTGTCAAGAACATCTACATCAGTAGCCCTTATCTCCCATGCTGCACAGATTCACCACAGCCCTGTTTCAACTTCAAAAAGGAAAGAAAACGTTATTATTATTATAGAAGAACTAATAGAAACAGAAGAGGAAAGGAATATGCACATACAGGAAGGGAATAGTAGGCGAGAAACGAGAGTAAGGTCACTTCACCTCCTATCAAGTACTTACCACACCCCACCTCACCAGCTGGGAAAGTCCCGTGGAGACAGTCAGGCTGGAGTCCCAACTGAGAGGCCTAGGCAAAGCATTCTCCCCTCAGGGGACACTTCCAGTGGAATCCCCACAAGGGCCATATTTATAGGGCAAATAACAGGGTTTGAAATGAAACATTTGTTCACCTACATGCAGTTTGGAACAGCTGCATGTCCACGTTTCATGTGTCTGTATTTTCAAGTAGCCCGAGCTATATACATCTCTCTCCCCTCCCGGATCCCATTCTGGGGGGCAAGCCCTGCCTGGAGCAAGAGGAGACAAGACTATAGCTCTTGGCATCCAGAACAGAAAGGCTGTATCTGGAGGCTGAAATCCCTGATGAATATAGATGCAAAAATCCTCCACCAAATATTAGCAAACCAAATTCAACAATACATTAAAAGGATCATACGCCATGATCAAGTAGGATTTATTCCAGAGATGCAAGGATCCTTCAATATCCATAAATCAATCAGCATGAATATGACATGAACAAACTTAAGAGTAAAAATCATAGGATTGTCTCAACAGATGCAGAGAAAGTATTTGATAAAATTCAGTATCTATTTATCAAAAAAACCCAAACAAACAAACAAACAAAAAAAAAAACAAGAAATACCAAAGGTTATAAAGGATATGGAGAAAGAGGATATGGAGTGGATAATTTCTTGCCTCTGATCTTTCCTCCTTTATCCTTCCACTCTCTTCCTTCCAGGCCTTTCCTAGCCAGCCACCCCGTAGGTCACCCGTGTCCTTACTTCAGACCACTTCCCCAGACATATTAAGTCAATGGCCATTTGTGCTCTTTGAGTGTCTACTAAAAAAACATCTTATTTCATTACAGAATGGTATGGGAGCTACTCAGTTTAACTTTCATCAACAGATGATTCGAACCAGGGCTGATCCTGGAGTCCTTTCTCTCTATTTGCTGGTTGGCAGGCCCTGTGTCTTTAATGAGTTGTTGTAAGAAACAAAGACAGGAGAGCTATTACAATGCAGTAAGAAGTTTTTATTATACGCATAGTCTCCTGAGAACAGAACACACAGCATGCCCCACAGCGACACAGGCAGTACCGAGGTGAGACACACAGGCAAAGAGAAGTACTGCTGGCCTGTATTATTACTGCATATTTCATGAGAAATAATGGAGAAGCAAAGTCAACAAGCTACTCACACATAGGATTGGAGATTTTGAAAATTTCAGCAGGCTGCAGACTATAGGTGTGCCCCTTGTCCTCTGGTACCCAGGGGGATTTGATAGAGGGAAATGTCACAGATTGCACCTCTCATTGAAAGGAAAAGAGTAGGATTTGGACTCAGGATTGTCTGGCTTGCATATCAAACGTATGCCCTTTGGCACGTCTTTTATTGCCTCTGGGAATTAGTTTATTTTGGAAGAGGAGGTCCCTTTGTGGCTGGGGCAGCGAGAATACAGAAATAAGAAAATGGATTAAGTATAAAGCCTCATGAGGCTTAAAATAAGAGCTCCTGCAGGGGTGTTTGGGCTAGAGTGGTAAGTATTGTGGTGATCTGAAACTCTTGTCCCATAAATTGTGTGCCTGCTGAATCTGCGTGGGTCCAATACTAACAATAATACTATGTCTTTTCTGAGATTGTCTGCTGGTGGGCTCCACCCAATCTTACAGTCTGATGTGTCTGACATGTCTGGTTTAGGACGAATAGCTCTGTCACACAGTTAATTGATGTGCCATGGACAGATCTACCCGGGCCTGTACTATGCTGGGAACTACTTGTTGAACAGTGAATAGGTTGTTCTTGAGAAGGGCCAAGTCTTGCTGAAGAACCGGGAAGTCTGTGCTATGAGTCTTCATCTGGACTTGCCAGAGTGTCCACAACATCCTTCCTGGACACAGATGCATGTACCACCAAATGATAGGAGAGGTCATAGGGCCCACATGATAGGGCCACTTGCATGGAGACCTAAACCTGACACAGAGTCCCTCCTGGCTCTGCATCCACTCTACACTAGTGTAAGGGCCTACTTAGCCAGAGCGAGCCATTTTGTTGTTTATGCAGTAAACTTAGATTGAACCTGCCCTTTCCCCCAAGAGGAAAGCGTTTAGAAACAGGACTGGTGAAATACAGCCGGCTAGTGAAATATGGCCAAATAGCCCCAATAATGGTGCGCAGATACCAGGACATGTCAGGCTGAGCAGAGATAACGGAGCCCAGATACAAGGATGTGTTCGGCCAGGTGGAGACGTCCAAACAAGTGAAAGCGCACGTATTACCCGCCAAGAAGTGTGAGCCCCCGCCTTTTGGGCACCAGACAAAGGCGCCAATTCTAGCCAAGGTCATAGGCTGAATTAGATGACTATCGTAGGGTAGAATATAATTCAATTGGCCACCTGTGTGTGGCCAGGCTCAACCACATGGCCTTTACTCTATAAAAGTTAGTCTGTGAGGCTGGGAGGGGTCGCCTCTTTGCAAGAGATGACCCTGGCCGGTCAGTTTGATTCTCGATGCTTGTCGCGAAATAAAGCTTTGCTTGACCTTTGCTTTGTATCAGTCTTGTCCTTTTGTCCACAGACCCTTTCACTAGTGACTTCAAAATTAGCTGATAAATGGAATGGTGTAGTTTATCCAAGTGTGGAATGTTTTGTCTCAACACTCAACACTCAACAAGATACTGTGCTTCAAGCTCTGTGGTTGGAGGTACAAGATGTAAGCACTTGTCCTTTACCTCAGAGATGATGTGCCTGCATTCCTCAGATATCTAGACCCCCGGCATAGCCACCAGGTTGGGGGGCCGCATGAAGTTTTGTAGGGTTTGCATCCTACTGTTGGAGGACATGTATTTTTTTTTTAAGATTTTATTTATTTATTTGACAGACAGAGATCACAAGTAGGCAGAAACACAGGCAGAAAGAGAGAGAGGAGGAAGCAGGCTCCCCCGGAGCAGAAAGCCCGATGAGGGGCTCGATCCCAGAACCCTGGTATCATGACCTGAGCCGAAGGCAGAGGCCTTAACCCACTGAGCCACCCAGGCGCCCCTGGAGCACATGTATTTTTGCAAGTTAGTGAAGTACTCAATATTTCTCGCTCATCGTGTGCAATTAACAAGATATAATTGATAGAGTATGGCCTAGCGGGATGATCTGGGGATGTTTATACAGTGCACTGTAGCAGAGAGCAGGGAGATAACAAAGCCCTCAGCCACAACTGAGGATATTACCTGCTCTTCACTGCCAGTGAAAGCGAAGCCCACCAGAGGACTGCATTACATCATATGCCATGCCCCCTGCTGGTAGACTTTGTAGTTGGCCCAGCATGGGGTAAGTACTTTCAAAACCTCCACAAGGCCAGAAGAGGGAAAATTAACACGCACAGCAAAGAATGGGGCCTGGTGGGAGGATTCTTTTGACAAATTTAATTTTTGAGTACTTAAGCAATAGGAATGCCCCATAATTTGCAAATCTTCTTCCTCTTAGATCTGAAGTGTTTCTGCCTTTCAGAGTCTAATAACAGAGTCTCTGGGTGTGTGGCATGAACACACTGGATCCATTGAAAGCAGCAAGATGGTGACTCCATCATAGTTCTTGGCCTTCTGCTCCTCTGGGTTCCAGGTGAGATTATTTGGACAAAGCAGGTCAAGGTAAGGGTATGATTATCCATCCTGATTTTCTTTCTTCATTGGGAATCTTTCCACAGATGAATTTGGCTTATTTTAAAAATAAGTAGTATTCTCTGTCCTACCTAACTAGATACTGGTGACTTCCATGTACATATCCTGAGACTCTGCTGATGTTTCCTGTGTGGTTTCAGCCTCCCATGGAGAGAATGTGCTGACCTAGTCTCCTGCCATCCTGTCCATGGCTCCAAAACAAGGAGTCACCATCACCTGCCGGGCCAGTCAGAACATTAACAAGTGGTTAGCCTGGTATCAGCAGGAGCCAGGGAGAGCCCCTAAGCTCCTCATCTATGAAGCATCCAAGTTGGAAACTGGGGTCCCATCTTGGTTCAGCGGCTTGGATGTGACAGACTTCACTTTACCATCAGCAGCCTAGAGTCTGAAGATGCTGGGACCTACTAATGCCAACAGTATAATAGCTACCCACCCACAGTGTCACAGGTCAGAGCATAAACCACCAGGGAAGCAGATATGAGGGGCTGGGCTGCTCCCGCTGCTCCTCTGATGCCTGCACCTGCTCAAACAGTTTCTCAGAGGCAGATGCAATTTGGAGGTCACGGGGCCTTTGAGAGAAGGGCAAGGAGGATCCTCGACCCCCTGACTGACTCCCTTTCCTCCAGATCATTACACCTGAGGAGTGTGGGTGATGGCATTGTCGGTTTTATACAGAAAAAGAGAAACCACTCTAGGTATTCCAAGCAGCAATTTCTTCCTATAGGGAAGTAATGTCTGAACATCACTCTTTGAAAGGCCTGGGGATATAATAAGGAAAATAAATACTAGAAACATTGATTCTTCGGTGAGTCCTTGTAAGTCAGAGAATTTATACCGCTGGAGATACAGGCTGCCTAACCACGTGGTCCTCAGGCCTGTCTAGGAAGGCCAGGGATGGAGGTGCTGGTGTTCTAGCTGCCGCAGACCCTCCCTAGGTGATTCTCTGGTCCCCCACTTACCACTCACCTGCCTGCAGGTGCTGATGGAAGGCACTGAATCCTCCTCTTCTGACCTCCACGAGGTGCCTCATGAGCAACTCTGTAGAGAACTGTAGAGGAAAGGGGGCTCTGTGATATGTGCTTCCAGAAGTGATGGTGGTGATGGGGAGCTGACAGAAGACAGCCTGTGATGGTCACTGTTTTTACATCTAAGAAGTTGGCCAGTTAGGGGAAGGCCCCAGAACATGTTTGAATATACCTCTAGCTATCATCATTAGGTCATAACAAGGAGATTTTCTTAAGTGACTGAGGGAAGAGAAGAACGAGGAAATTGTGTCATGTATATAGAAATAACTAGACAATGATGGACTTTGGTGATTAAAAAAAAAACTAAATGTGGATGAAGCACGTTTTTCTTAATATAAAAATATCTTGTTGCTTAAAATTCTCTATACACCAGAGCATCACCAACAACCCTGAAAGCTTGTGCCAAATGCTAAATAGCTGTCTCCACCTTATACCTACTCACAAGGCTCTCCATTTTAACAAGATAGCAGGAGAGCTGTTTAAGATAAGATGCTCTGTTGTAGAGCATTTTTACTTCCTCTAAAGTAGTCTTTCTTTAATTTTCTATTTTCATTTAAGACATTTCTATTGAAAGCCACCTGTTGAATTAAAGCCACCGGTCAAAAACGCCTCCAATCAAGGAACCTGCCTCGGTGTGGATAAGCCCAGGATTCTCCGTCAGCTCCGTCCTAGAAAGCAATGTCCTGTCTTCCTGAAGCCCTCCCAGGCAGAGCAGTCACTCCTGCTCAGAGTGGAGAACCCCCTGTGCCCAACTTCACGTTCACCCTGCCTCTGACATTGACATGTGGTGTACGGGCACCATATAAAACCCAGAAGACAAACCCGTGTGAATCCCAGCTCACAGGGCAAGAGCACATCCTCTATCACCTCAACACTTTCTCATGAACTAATTCTTCATCTTCTACAAAATGCTCTCCCAAGTGGCTCCCAGAGACTTTGCTCAGACAGAAGCAGGCTGAGCCACATGTGACTTATCATCGCCTAAACAATCATTCTAGTTGTTTGTCATCTGTCAGGGGGAGGACCAGGCAAGAGTAGGCGGCCCAGGAGAGTGGCCGGCAGGCAGTACCACCAGGTACCACCACGACTGTGGAGTCTGCCGGCTCTGCCTTTGTCCTCCATGGGGATTTGCATCAAAATCCCACCCCTATTGCCTCCACCCCAGGCCTGATGCTGCTCACTGGGTCTTTTCCACGGACAGGGTCTGAGCAGCCTTGAGAGGGCGAGAGGCAGCCTGATGGTGCCAGATCCTCAGGCTCCTGCTCTTATGGTCCAGGTGAGAGAATGTTCCCAAGTTGAGAGTTCTCTCAGGGGTGACCCTCATGCTTCCTGAGAAGAGTGGTATTGGGAGGGGAAAGGAAATGAGTGTCACCAACCGCAAAAGCTTGCTTAGGGCCTGGCCTCAGCTTGGGAGGCCCACTTTGGCCCTAACAGGAATTCAGCACCTCTGCATCAGCCCAGTGTGCCGCTGATGGCAGTTTCCAGTGGGCACATGACACTCTTCCATGATCCTGCAACCCTGGCCGTTCCCCAGGAGAGAGTCTCCATCAGCTGCAGGGCCAGTGAGAGGCCCCTCCACACGGCCAGGAAGCACTGCTTAGCCTGCACCAGCATGGACTGAAGGCCCTCATTTACCTCCCTTCCACCTGAGTTAATGGGGTGCCCACCCATTCAGACGCAGCCGCTCTAGGGCAGACTTGACTCATACCATCCGCAGCCTACAAGCTAATGACAATATGGCTGACTTCGGTCTTGCAATATCAGGATGTACTGTCATAGTGACAGGACCCCACATCAGCCCTCTCTCTGGGTCTCCTGCTAGTCATGACAGCCCCAATCTGGCCCTCTCCACTCACGTCCCTACCTCGCTTCCCATTGCCTCCAACAGCCACCCCCACACAGAAACTCCTCTCTGCTGGCATTCCTATTTCCTGACTTTGCCATTCAAATTTTAATCCAGAGAAAACGTCTCACGAAGGAAAAAACACTAGATCTTGGTCTATCCTTGTGCTGGAACCAATGCACATTATTCTTTTCCCAACATATTTTTAAAATTAAAAAAAAAAAAGACTTCTAGTACAAAACCAGGAGCAAAGAGCAAGCTCTTTTTCTCACTAGAAAATGTTTTAAATTTGGAAAGAACAGCAAAGCAGATTATACAAGGGAGGCAAACAAAAAATATGGAAGACAGGAGAGATAAAGGACTCACCACCTGAACACTTTCTCCCCCAACGCTCCCCACCAAACCACTGAATTGCGCAGTAGCGCACCTCTCTTCTGAAAGCGCCCTGAGCTAAAGTGTTTCCCCTGCAGCCTGCGCACTGAGCATCTATCGCCCCCTTCAGCCACTTCTAGACTTCTAGACCTGCCTAAAAGTGGAAGAACAATGTTTATTTGAAATCAAGATACGTAGACTAACCCACTCTAGGATCATTTCTTATTGCCAACACCAGCCCCAAAGTCTCTCCTGGTTTCTGGAATATTTTAGCTCCCGCCTCCTAGAGCCTCTCACAGCCTGTCACAATTCCTGGTGGTTTCAGTGTATTCAGTATATGACCTTCCATTACCTGCTCTCTCAGTTGTTTGTCTGACCCTCCTCCAATTGTCTCTTCCCCACCCAATCTTGATCAGTCACTCTCATGGCCATGACTTAGGTGCGCCATCAGAAAATTATGACAAGTTCTCCATCATTAAAATGTGGAGTACCTCAGGGATGCCTGGGTGGCTCAGTCAATTGAGCCTCTGCCTTCAGCACAGGCCATGCTCCTGGGTTCCTGGACCTGAATGCCCAAGGGATGGCTTTAAAGAAGAAGGTGACAAGTGGTGAAAAAAGATGCTGAGGCACAGTATCCCATGATCCTAAAGTGACAGGGTTAAAACGAGGGAGGGAATCAGAGTGGCTACATGGCTCAGTCTGTTGAGCGTCTGACTCTTGGTTTCTGCTCAGGTCATGATCTCAGGCATGTGAGATGGAAGGGCATCAGGTCCCCACTCAACAGGGTGTCTGCCTGAAAATCTCACCATATCCCGCGGCCCCTCCCCACCAGCAATAAATAGATAGATAAAATCTTTAAAAAAAATAGAATGAGAGAATAGCCTTTGTGAGAATGAGTAAGCCTGGGAGAAATGGAGAAGAGAGAGAAGGGAGGTAGGAAAGGAGCTGGAGCAGAAATGAATGTCCAGGACATTGACCAGGAAGGCTGGGAAACAGGGCCCATGGAAACAAAAGCGAGAAGGACACTACCTTCCACGTGGGAGATTATGAATAGGAGAGCTCAAAGGTTTCATCCTGGGAAGGTTCAGAGTGGGAGGGTGAACGAGGGTGAAGAAAAGACAATAAGGAAATAAAAGAGAAATGTCGCAGAGTCCAAGAGGAGCAGGAAGGGAGAACTGATCTGCCAGATGGAAAGTTCACAGCCCATTGTCAGAGGCTAATGACAGACCTTCCTGGCTCACTTCTGCTGTGGGACCCTGGGAAACACGCAGCTTCCTGGGGCACAAAAACTCCCGGCAGCATCCCTAAGACATCTTCACAGCATTTGTCTTCACTAACCTCCCACAAAAAGGGATACAGGAGGGATGCCTGGGTGGCTCAGTCGATTAAATGGCTGCCTTCAGCTCAGGTCATGATCCCAGCATCCTGGGATCGAGTCCCGCATCAGGCTCCCTGCTCAGTGGGGAGCCTGCTTCTCCTTCTGCCTCCTGATCCCCCTGCTTGTGCTCTCTCTCTCTGGCAAATTAATAAATAAAATCTTTTTTTAAAAAAGGGTGAGGGATGCAGGAAAAGTCCAAAACCTTCATTTTCTGCTGGCCCTTACAAGCCCTGCAAGGAATAAGTCAGGAGAAGTGACTTCTCAGGCAGTTAGGGGAACACACATGTTCAGGGCTGACCAAAGAGGAAGCAGCTACTGCAGCAAAGCCTCCCTGACCCCTTGCCCAGGGGAGCAGGTTTGTGTTCGAGGCTGAAGAACTGTGGGTGGATAGCTACCATACTGCTGACAGTAATAGTGCCCCACATCTTCGACCTGGAGGTTGCTGATGCTGAGGGTGAAGTCTGTTCTAGACCCACTGCCACTGAACCTGTCTGGAATGCCCGTGGCCCTGTTTGATGCACCATAGATGAGGAGCCTGGGAGACTGCCCAGGTGTCTGCTGGTACCAGGTTATGTCGTTGCTAACACTCTGACTGGCTCTGTAGTTCATGGTGACCCGCTGACCTGGAGATCCAGCCAGGGAGCCCGGAGTCTGAGTCATCGTGATGTCCCCATGGGCACCTGCAATCAGAAAAATGGTGATACAGACACACTTTATCCCATCACGCTGAAATATGTCATTGCAAATGTGCTTCCTAATGGTACCACATGGCAATACATCATTGGGTCTATTTTGGAAATATCAGTGTTTCTCAGTATATA